CGTCAAAAACCCACAACATTCCTACAGTTTAAACACTTTCTGCAATCATCAGCAGAAAGTTATTACTACATTTAGTGCTTGTTTTCTTTATATTTCAGCCTATGTCAACAAATCTACATAAAATATTGCATCAGTGTATGAAGATGTTGCACTATTTTATCAGCAGTGGTAATGATTGTTTTTTCTATTTTAAAGAAAGCAATCCAGAGACAGTTTCTTATGTGTTTTATGGTATTGGTATTTTTACTCATGAGATAATCTTATCTCTATCTGTACCTACTCTAACATATTTAAAATGTGAAACAGGCACTCCTAAATTATTGCACACATTTTTAAAAGTTCATTGTAGTAATTGATTCTTTAGATGAGGCTGAGTGGAACTTTTTAAACTGGAAAATTAAACATACTACAATTTTTACATGCTAAAGATTTAACTTACCGGTAGTTCTTTTTTAACCATGTATTTTAACCCGTGGGCTGCAACATAATCCCCTGTTTCTAAGTTGGTGCTCATGTTTGAAGACAGGCTGCAGCCTGCACTATCTGGACTATGTTCAGCCTTGTCTGCTCGACACACACAGCAGACGCAAGTCAGGAGACTTCCAGTCAATATTAGTTCTGCCAATGTCTCCATATTGACACGACCACACTGCGTGGATTCCTTTTACTGAGAATATTGAGACATTTTCCTAAATGCTTCTGCGCTGGCGATTTGGATGTTTCAGATAAATGAGACAACCTGTTCTTTTTAAATTGATCCAGTCATTCATAAGTTGGAAGCATAAATTGTTAACTGGAGCATTTTTTCTGTTTCGAGGAGACTTTCTGGAGAATCTGTAATTCTTGTACAAATCTATGTAGGGAACTATCCTGAATGATTGAAAATAGTATAAAAAAAAAGGAAAATCTGTAAAGAATAAGATCATCAAAATGGAAATGTATCCCCTCCCTCCTATTCACGAACGCACAGTAGCCGAGAATCCATTAAGGCGGGCAGGAAAAGGTTCATCTGATAACCCCTCAGAGCCCATTATGGGCACACATCAGCCATGACATCATCACAGCCTGTAACAATAACACACACACATACAGTGGGATTACTCCAACCCTAACATTCACACCCCTTATGAATTATTTCAAGATTCTTTCCAATACTGACCACAGCTAAATGCCAGTTCATTCAGTGCCAGCGTTAGTCGCATAAACCTGCACAAAGATTGACGTTGTGCCTAAAGATAATAGGCTGCTTTCAAGAACGAACAAATCATCTGCATGCACTAAATTAAAATCAGTAAAACTACTGCCGTGTTTATTTTGAAACATCTATGAGCCCATCTCAGCTTGTAGATATTTGGCAGAACATCAGGTTTGAAATCTGTTTGTGTGGTTTCCAGCACAATCAGAGATCTATCTTCCTGTGTAAAAGAGCTGCCTCATCTTCAGCTCTAAGAGCTTTGTCTTTCAAATTCATTAAGCTCTTCATATGAAAGGATGATTGAAAGGTAGCCTTCGATCCTAATTCCTATCAGCTTACAGAGGGAGAGATTTCATGCCTACTGTAAAAGGCAATAAATATGTTTAAGACTATGAAAAAACAAAGGCTTAGTTACAGCAGGTGGTAACTGCACCTTATTTTTGATGAAACATTTCTATTTATATTCTTTCTTTTAAAGCAAAGAAGTCAAAAATGCTGTTCTATTTTTTATTTACTTTTAAAACATTCAAATTTTGATTCTTTTACAAATAATAAAGTTGATTCAACCTGCCAAATTAAGGATATTATGGCAATGAATTACAATGTTGGGTCAGTATAAGTCACATATGATAGCCTTAATAAAAATATTTTACCTGCTAATGATTTGACAAACTTTATTGTCATTTTGCATGCACAGTGTATACAAAACAAAATATCATTTTAAACAGCTTTCTAACAGTGAATGAGCAGCAGCTTAGCAGTGAAAATGAAAATACAAATGAAATTTCTATTTAGAAAGCGCAGCAGTGATCAGAATGTAAACAGTGTAGGGGAGACATGCTGCAAAAGGTCCTTGATGTGGAAAATAAATAGATATGGTGCAAAATGCAGTAGAAACATTGAGTGAGTTCTATTTTGAAGATTCACCATGCAGTACAAATATGATGTGTACAAGTTCAACAGTCTTATGGCAGGGGGGGAAACACTGTTCCAGAACCTGCTGGTCCTGCATTGAATGCTGCAAAGCCTCTTCCCAGAGGGCAGCAGGGAGAACAGTCCATGGTAGGGCTGTGAGGGGTCACTGATGATGTTATGGGCTCAGGACACGCAGCGCTGGGATGAAATGTCTTTTATGGAGCCCCATATTTTTTACTTAAAGTCGCAGCAATTCAAATCCTAAAACCTGTTTAAACCATGCAGCAGTCCCTTAAAGGACCCGGACATTCATTTAGATCAGCCTGAAGGAAAAACTGCACAACACCTTCAGTCCAACCGGTGGCAGTAACTAAAACAAACTGCTGCTTTTATCCTTTCCTCCCAGTCCTGCATAGATTTGCTATACCACTGTTTACTCTTTCCGCAGTTATTATTTTGGCTAATAATAACAGTTTTACAGTATTGCAGTTATAACTTTGAACTGGCTCTCCAAGCAGGTTTAAATAATTATGTAACATTTAATCTTTTTATTTACCATCCTCTGGCCTGAGTTGTTGCTTCATGATTCATTTATTAATAACTACTAAAAACGGATCAGCCTTATTGTTTTTTTTTTTTATAATAACAATAATCAGTTAAATCTCTTATTACTTATCTACATCTCGAACAGAAACACTTTTTTGTCAATTTTTACGTTTTGTATTGCAGATTTCACATTGACAGTTTTGCTGCTTCGCTATCAGGGCACTAGCTGCAGAATCCCCTAAAAAAAAAAAAAAACAGCTTTTTATTTGTTATTTTGGGATGCAGTTCAGAGAGGACCAATCTTTTGCTATTTAAAGTATAGTCCATATCTTACATAGTCTTTTTGAGTCTGCTTTTGTTAATGACTGTACAGTTTTTTTTGCATTGTTTCTTTTTATTCTTTATTTATTTTTTAAATATTTAATTTTTATTTTCTTTTTCATCCGAGCAATTGGTATGCCGAGGACAAAAAGCAACAGAAGTTATTGCAGTCAAATATAACTGAACCTTTTTTAGCCTTTTATATTTCCACACAAAACATTGAAAATGACTAGGAAGAAGATAAACATACTGAAAACCATCCATAACTGAAATCCACTATGTCTGTCAACATGCTTCATTTGCATTTGAATTTGCTGCTGGTAAATGAAGGGCATCTGGTTGGTCTAATAAAGAATAGATCCTTTTTATTAACTAGATGATGTTTACCTAAACAACCAAACTCATGAACACGTGCCTAATTAGCATTTCATAACACGTTACACATATTTAATTTTTTTTAACCCACGTTTCAGAATTGAATAGCAGTGTTTGATTTGAGTACACAAGTAGAAAGCCTTTGTGTGTCCTGACAGAATTTTTTTTTCAAATCATCAGTAATCAACATTACCTGGCTGATAAAAGTCATTCTAACCACTTAAACCAGCTAAGCTTTTCTTAGAGTTAGGTTGTTAAACTTTTAATGGTATTTAAAGAAATGTCTGTGATTTTTAGGCTCAATTGATTGCCATAAATGACCTTAAAATGTCCCTTACAATAATTCATTTAGATTTTAAATTCTGTTCTAATTTTACAAGCATTGTTTTTCTAACTGAATGTAAGGTTCGGGAGCGGCCATGTTAGAAATCAGACATTGATCTGATATTAAAGGCAGGAGCTAAAGATTAGGAAAATGGCTTGAAAGCCCTCCAACTTCAAAGAATTGGAACCTAAAGGTAATTTCTCCAAATTCTAACGGTGCAAATCTACAGCTAAACAAAAATGTAAAGATTTGATCATTGGGAATATTTTTGTAAATTAAAATATTTATTTAAATCTTGATAAAAACAGAATAATAGTTGTTTTTAAATTCAAAGATGATAGTTTTTCCACACTATTATATTATCTTTTGAGAAATAAGTTGCTTATTTCCTATCAGGAACAAACTTCTTGATTATGTTGCAGATGTTTACATATCTATTTTTGATCCGGTATAATGTATGCTGTACATAATTATTATTATTACATCTGTTTTGTACGTTGAAGTTGGTGAATTTCTTTATTTGCATGCAGGCAACATCCCAAACAACAGTCATAGCATAGATTTTGTTTTGTTGCATTACTACTAAAATCACAATCTTGAGCCCCAAAACTAAAGCTCCATATGTCCACATTATATGAGCTTCTATTTTGAAAATGTTCCAACTTGCATTTGTTGTTGTGATGAAAAATCATTTTGATGTAGATTTTTCTACTTTTCCTTTTGAAAAATGATCCATGGAGTAAATAATCCAGCAGCGCAGAAAATACTTTTTCTTCTGAATTTACTGTTATAATCAGAAATAAGATTAATAAAAGCTTATATAGATCTGCCTTTCCAAAACCATGTGACAGATGGAATCAATAGTTATTGTTTTGTTTTCCAGTCACACGATGGTGGAGGCGGTCATGTGCACCAGTGAATGTGTAGGATGGCCTTATCTCAGATGTGCTGTTCTCTGTGTAACAATAATGCTTTAGAAACAAAATTACTGCCTCAGAAATGCAGAAAAAAAGTTTAAAATTTTTTTAATGGAGCCTTAAAGTCTGCTGTAAAAGGAATGAATACTGCTTAAGGACACTAATTAAACGGAGAACAGTAAGCTGAGGAGACACCAAGAAGAGGGCGCTTCATCTAAAGCTGCTTTTCTTTAAATTGTTTCATTTGGAGTAAGTTATGGAGGGAGAGGATGTTTACATAACGAGTACTTCTCCTCCTATGTCAGCAAACCTGTCTTGATGATTCAGTAAAACAAAAAGATAAAAACTAACAATCTGTCCTATCTTCAAAACACCAATGTCAGGCAACTTCTGTTGCAAATTGCCTTCAAAGCTTCAAAGTGAGAGACTTGAGGGAAGCAGTCAAACAGTTGGTAAAGTCAGAGCAGTAAAAGAAGGAAGTGAAAAGGTCTGAGGACACAGAGCCGGTAAAGGAAGGAGACAACAACAAGCTGCTGCTAAAAAAACATCGTTGCTGAGGAGGGTCGATCGACTCTCTGTAAGACAAACTGGGAGATAAACCACAACAGAATGACCATGTATGAGAGAGCAGGTACGGTTTCTCTTCTGGACTCGTTTCAATAACATTTGAGGTTCTATTAAGAGAACCGAGAATTATTAGAAATTAGTCTTTTAGTTTCAGTCAGTTTTTATACTCTTTTTTTTTCTGTGGTCACATTTTGCCTTTGAGTAGTGAAATATCTGAGCTGCGTCTGCAGCATATGGGCAGGAAACTTTTTGGCATCCTGTGTCGCTCTCTGTTCTGGTGTAGAAGCACTTTTTTTGTGGTTCTAAGGCCGTTATATGGTGGATAGTTTACTTTGCCTCCTGCTGCTTATATTACACATGTAACAGTAACTTGTAGTTTAAATGTTGCTGGGTTATTGTTCGATTCTTACAATAATGGGACGGAATGTTTAACATGTCAAAGGGACAGCAGAAAATCTTACTGGTTTGTCAGTTTCTCTGTCGAGCTGGTTTCCTGTTAGTGGGGCTGAAGGGTGTCGTTTCTGGGCTGGTTCTGGTTCACGTTTTTCTGAAAATGACGGCTGCACTGTGATCTGAGGTCAGCGTGGGCTCGGCTGAAGTTTCTTCCCTCTGCCTCGTCTGAAGTGTTTCCATGGCGGCTGGTGATGCCCACGGGGAGCCATCCACCGTCACTGGGGAGCCATTTTGTGGGTTGTGAGGAATGACGGTCAGGCAGAAGAATCCTTTTGTTCTGAGGAGGTCTTTGTCAAAAGCAGGCCTGACTCTTTTTAACTCGTATGTGCTTTATGTGCAGCATATATTAAATGCACCACTGTAAACCTGCACAAGTTGTGATGAATATAGAGCTTGCAGCTCTACAACCTTGATTGTTTTTTAATAGATCAATCATTTCTTTAAGGTTTGTGTGGCCAAATCCTGTTTTCTGTGGATTCTCATTTTATTTTTAAGGACTACAATGATAGCACATCTAGAGAAGCAATACAGTGATTTTTGTTTCCTAGCAGCCAACATCTAGAGCAATAGCTTACTTTATAGAGGTAGCAGATTTTATTCCAATTAATACAAAAGTTTGTTGTTTTTTTTGTCCAAAATCATGTTTCTAACCAGGGCTTCTTGATCTCAAAAATGATCATGCAGTGGTAATATCAATAAATATTGTAATCAGATATGCACAATATGTACAATTACACTACACGCTCAGCATAATATAAATGTTTCATTTAGGATATTCTGGTTGCAACATTTATTTAATTAGAATAATTTAAGTGCCATGCATTTATAGTCATGATTAAAGTGATATGATCAACCAGTTAGTCTCTAACCGTTCTCTGTGGGCATTTTATTTATATTTGAAGATGTTTGAACTCTTTGCACAAAGTTGTGGGTGAACTGCAGTAAACTGTGGGTTCTTATTCTGTAACATTATCACAGTTACATATTTTATTTATATTCTTCAGCAGTGATGGCAGTGAAATTTCCTCTGCGCTCCTAATCATCTGTTGTTATAATGCTTCAAACTATCTTTGGCCCGTTTATTATCTATACTTCAATAGCTTTGACAGGTGTTGGCTTTGGTGGGGGAGGATTGTGTGGCTGCTGTGGGCTTCTTGGTGGTATCACTTTTGCAAGAACCTCTTGGTAGAGTGCAGCCAGGTGGTAGGATTTAATGAATAGCTTTTGTGTTTTCTCTATTGAGGGAGCTTTGGGTTGATGCAGTGGACGTTTTGGGAGATGATGGGGTCAGCTCACTCAGCTCCTTATATTTGTCATTGTCAATTTGTTGGTTGCAGCAAAAGAGCAAAAGTAAAACAGATCAGAAGGGTAAGCATACACTGGGAGCTCGTCTGCCTGGCTGTGTGTTTCCTGGAAGGGGCCGCCTTTTGCAGCTTCTTTTTTTGTCTCTGCTTCTCTCTCCTTGAACCCCAGTCGGCCTCGGCAGATGGCCGCTCACACTGAGCCTGGTTCTGCTGGAGGTTGCTTCCTGTTAAAAGGGAGTTTTTCCTCTCCACTGTCGCTACAAGCCTGCTTAGTGTGAGGGATTGCATTCGAGTAAATGAGTCGATGTAATCAACTGGTTTTACTTAGATAGAAAACTTTGAATCAATTTGACTGTATGATCTAGTTAACTGTAAAGTGCCTTGAGATGACATGTGTTGTGAATTGGTGCTATATAAATAAACTGAATTAAATTAAAGATGTAGGTGTTATATCGCCAGGCCTGGAAACATCTGATTTTAAAAGATGTTCTTAACCACAAAGAGATAATTTATAGAAGTGTGTACTCTGTGCTTTCTGTGTTAGTCCACTTCAAAGGTGTTGTATATTTTGTGTACAGCTACCCAGGGTGTTCATTACAAATGTTTCTTTGGCTTTACATATTGTCTGAACAATAATGGTTGGAGAAAAACTGGGGGTTTGGGGGAATACTGACTATAGTACTTTATATCCAAATACATCAGAGTGGTAGGTTTGTTTTGGTCATTGCATTTCCTGTCTTCCTTTTAAAAATAAGAAAAATAAAGGCCGCTAGAGACTAGAAATAAGCTTTTTGAAAAAGATAAAATGATGGCTCAAATATATGAATTCATTAAATATACTAGATGTTCTTTGGTAGGTTGGATTACTACCACTCAGATTTTACATCCAAAGGACAAAGAAAGAAGCTTAGAAGTTTGAAGCTTCTCACATGAACTGGTAATTTTTCATCTGTAAAGATAAATCATGTCAAAAGAAAGAGACTAAACAGGCTATTATGAAAAGGTACGTTTTTCAACTCATCCCCTTTCCAGAGCGTTACATCTGTCAACACCTTTATTTGAGAAATGCACCTTATGACCACTGTACCCAATGCCCTAGGGAACTTTTAGTGATGGTGGTGGTGATGGTGGGGGGGTTGACCTGTGACCATGAAGTAGATTAACAGCAGTGAGACAAGTTATGACAACACTGATCTCTATTTATTCACTGGATAGCTGATAGGCCGCTGGTAGTACACGTTGCTGTGAAGTCAGCATTGAACAATGATGATGTTCTCATTTTCAGAGGGGCTTAAGACTTCATCATTTTGACACACACTTGCTGTTTCATAGCATCAGTAGATTACTGTAATTTATGGTAAAAAAAAAAAGGCATATCACATTGAATATTCAGTATGAAGTCTATGAAGTCTATAAATCATGTAAAAAACATATTATACAAATCCATCACAACTAACTTGTTATGACTTGTAATGGAGGTTAGTGGCAGACAGCCTTTTTAAAACCCAGAGCGACAGAGCTATTCATAGCCGTAGTTCTGGGTGATGCCACAGTGATATTAAAGCCATCTCCAACGCTGTCATGTTGGTTTGTAGTTTTTTTTACCCACGTGCAGAATCACACGGAGAACCGGTGAGCTTTAATGTTTTATTTACAAAAAGCAACAAGAAGCTGGAAACAGAGAACTGCAGGAAGTGAGTCGAACTTTATAGTTGGTCTGAGGAGAGAAAGCAGACTGATCAGGAAGGAGTTGGTTTTTCTGATAATAATCAGTTTTATGTACTATATATTTGAGAAAATTGATATTTTATACCCATTGAGCATCAGAAAAAAATGACACTCAGAAAAGTCAATTAAATTTAAACTTTGCATCAACTTTGCATCATGAAAACAGTTTAGAATAAAACAAAGAGCTGCAAAACATTGATTACCAAGATAAAATGCATGGAAACCTCCTACCAGAACGGTCTCAAAAAGATGTTAAAAAAAAGCTTCTATACTCTGGGGCAAAAAAAAAGTATTCAGTCAACTACTTATTGTGAGAGTTTCATGCTTAGAAAGAGGAGAGGTCTGTAATTTTCATCATAGAGACATTTCAAATAAGAAAAATAAATCAAATACATCACATTGCAGGATTTTCTAAATAATTTTTTTGTAAATTATGGGGGGAAATAAACATTTGGTCAATAACAAAGTTTGAACTTAAAACAGAGTGGCATTGCCTTTGTTAGTTATGACAGAGGTCGAACATTTCCTGAAAATCTTCTTCAGAGCGGCTCAGAAAAGTCAGATTTAGACGCTCTATTATGACTCAGTGTAGGAAAACATATCAAGCTGCGATTACCGGGTTTCAAAGAAAAGACGCCTCACTTGCTTCATGTCACTACTTCAAGACAGGTTCAAATACACTGAAAAAAATAATGCAACCGCTTTTTGGTATTTACTTAATCATATTTAGTTACTTTAAAACAATTGTTTATGTCCTACCCAGCTAACATGAAACAATTGTGTAAAAGTAACTAAATATGATTAAGTAAATGCCTCACGTTGCGGTTCACATAAGCAGACCATGCAGCCGATCATGGAGTGCATTGAGAAACTATGGCAGGGTGTAGATGTGCACAGTGATTTATTGATAGAAAGCTATGATGAGTTTAAAATCTTTTATCGAAAAATAAAGGGACATACTGTTACATCACTATAAATACAGAACCGGGAGGGTGGGCCATTGCTGAAAGATTAAATGCTTAATTTGTCACTTTATTCATCATATTATTTTCAGAGAAATATCCAAATTAAATTTCATATTAAAACGCTTCCAAGTAGAGGACAGAACAGCTTCTTACATGTGTGTAAAGCCCAGAAATATTGTTTGTTTTACAAATGACCAAATACTTATTTTCTGCCATAATTTCAGGGCAGGAGGTGGGAAACAAAAGGACCTTAACTAAAATAACTTCTCTGTTGGATAATATCTCTCTCCCCATGCATGAAGCTGGTACTGAACTGGAAAGCTCCTTTAGTGACAGACTGCTGCACCTTAAATGCACCAGGGAGCGTTATCACAGATCCTTCCTCCCAGCAGCTGTAAGACTTTATAACCACCACTGTTCCTAAGAACCTCAAAAAATTGTAACATTGATGCAGATTTTTGCACAGTTTCTGTCGTAGTCGGTTAAATAACACGCTGTTGTCATTTTGCACATCTCTGGTGTTGCTGCTATTTTCACATGTCCATTACTGTAAAAATGTCCATAGCTGTATATTGATTATTTATTCTTCGGATACACAGTATTTGTATTATAAAAACACTGTACAGTATAGTATTGTATTTGTTTATTTTCTTAACTCTGTCACTTATTCTGTTATTTTCCTACACTTTCTAAGGTCCACATTATGTGACCCATTCTACTATAACCTTTTTGCTGCTGCTGTAACACCACAAGTTCCCCATGGTGGGACAATAAAGGGATTTTCTATTCTATTCTATTCTTTAATTTAAAAATACCTTTTTTTAAATTTCCCTGAATTTATTTTTCTTATTTTGTCTCTGTTAGTTGGAGAGTTACTATAATATCTTTGAATGAGCTATTTATTCATTATTGTGGAAAGTATTACTTCACCATAACATTCTAAGTATAAAAAGTGAGTTTTTTTGTTTAAACTTATTAGTTTTCTTTGAACTTTTACCTCTTAATTTCAGTCAACAGACAGCTGAGATGGTTGACCTCTAATGAGTCGTGTTCAGCTTTCATGTGGATTCTAATTTGGTGTAAAGTGTTTCACAGGTCGCCATGTGGTCAGATAGAGAGGATGCCTGAAACAACGACAGGTTTTAGTTCCCCTGTGCTCTGCTGCATGTGATGCTTTCTCGTCACATTTTATGTTTTTTTCCTTTATATTTTCATTTTAGGGGAGTCCAGGAAGTTCGATCCGAATTTCAAAGGGCCGATCCAGAACAGGTCTGTTCATTCTGTTGTTTTTGTCTCTTTAAAGAACAAAAAAGGAATACTATGTTGTTGTTGTTGTTTTTTCCCTCAGGGGTTGCACAGACATCCTCTGCTGTATTCTCTTCATTCTCGCCCTGTTTGGTTACTTTGCTGTCGGTATCCTCGGTAAGAATCTTGTTCTGTTACAGTATTTATTAAAAACCTGTAAAAATATTGGCCAAGGCTGTAGACATAAACATAAACTCATAAAGTCCTCTGTTTTTCACTGGATAAGATCACTCTATGGTAAAAGGGAAGTTAAAATCTAGAAGTGATTGTAAAGCTCAGGGTGGAGACACTAGAACTTTGACTGACCTTATCTGTGACTGCAGAGGACATTTAGTCAGCTCTTCTGTGCTTTTTAGATCCATCTCAGGTAACAGTCCTTACCTTAACACTGCCATTCAATCTTTCTCAACATAAGTGCACTATTCTTGAATTGAGCAGGTAAGTGAGACACTGCCAATGGAATAAAACAATATAAAATTTAAAATAAGAAAAAACAGTTGCAGGCTCTTGCTTCAAGTGCAAAACATTTGATTATATTATGTTAAGGGTAAGAATACTCACTATATTGGTAGATCTTATTTACATATTCAAATTAAGAAGAAATACACTTTTTTGAGAAATTTTGACCCATTTTTAGATCATAGATGGTAGGATTACATGGAAAAGCCTTGTAATCCTACCATTACACTGCTTTTAACAAGGTGGTTCCACTTGTTGATCATTAGATGATCAGTGCTTCTGATTGGCAGTGCTGAACTGATTTTTACCCTTCTGAATTCTTTGAGAGCAGATGGGCTGTTTAATTTTTTTAAATAATAATAGGTCATTTATTTATTGATCTTATCTGAAGATCACTTGTTTTATTCTTAAAGCTTGTAAATATAGGTACAAATGGAAACTAAAGTGTTGATTTTCTCTGCAGCCTGGTCTCAGGGTGACCCCAGAAAAGTAATTTATCCCACAGACAGCAGAGGGCAGTTCTGTGGGCAGGCCGGGACCCCGCTGGAGTAAGTCACCTAATCACATCAAAGCTTGCGGATGATTTTAAATAACTTCCAGATATGTAGTCTCGAAAAAGTATTCATTACATCATGACACAACTCTAACCTGTAGTGTGTTTCGCTGAGGTTTTATATTTGACCAAAACAAAGTGGAGTAAATGATAAATGCATCATATTTGCTTTGCTTTTTTGTGGCATGCATTTGTATTCATCTTGTCTGAGTCATTACTTTGTAGAATCACCTTTTTGAGGCAAGCCGCAAATCTTTGAAGTACGTCTCTACCAGCTGCAGCACATCTAGAGAACGACATGCTCTTGCTATTTATCATTGTGAAGAGTCTTTAAAGACTTTTAAAAGACTTTTTAAATAGCAGATTCTAAATCTTGCTACAGATCATTGAATGGATTTAGATTTGTATTTTGACGGGGCCATTCCAATTACAAAGGAGGATACTTTAAGTCATTTCCTGCAGGGTGGTGTCCTGTTGGAATGTAATTTTCTGACCCCACCTCCTGTCTCTATTAGCCTCTAGCAGCCTTTCTTCCAAGTTTGCCCTGTACAGTATTTACCTACATTCATCTGACTATCAGCCCTTAGCAGCTCCCCTGTGCCAGATGGAAACCACAATTTCCACAGCATGATGCTGCCAACACTATGTTTTACAGTTATGTTTGTGTGTTTGGGGGGGATTTACATTTTTAGGCCTGCAACTAATGATTAGTATGCAAACTGAATTATCTGTTGATTTATTTTTTTATTTTTTTGATGAATCGATTAATAATTGGATAGCAAAAGGTTCCTCGAAGAATACTTTTTGCCAAATTAAGCCAAGTGAAAATAAAGCTTTTCCATTAGAGGAGTTCTGGATAGAGCATATTGACAGACAATAAAGATTTTTTATCTTTAGTGCAAAAAGTTAACACTTTTTTTTTTTTTTTTTTTTTTTACAATTTTGGGTTGCTCTGTCTCCTAAAGGCATGTTTTGGAGTCTCTATCCTCCAGTTAACGATTAATCTATTATTGAATTAGTTGACGATTATTATTATCAACATTGATTGAATGCATCACTGGCAGTTAACCTGGAGACAGATGAGCTTTAAATCTCTGCTGCTCCTCCAAAGGTTGCATAGCATCCTGCTTATCTGATGGATGCTCTCTTGTCCCAGTCTGGTACTCATTATGGATTGAACTTTCTTCCTTGAGCTCTGTGATCTGTTTCAAAGAAAGATCAGAGAAGAAAGTCTTTATTTGTCTCCCATCCTGAAGCACTACTCCAGTAGAGCCAAGGTTAGGTTTTTGGTTCAAGAAAGGACAAAATATAGACATAATAAATGGCGGAGCACAGCACCCGAAGCGTTGCTGCTATCAAAGGCGCTGCCCTTGTAGTTAATATAGAAAAAAAAAAGAAAAAAATCACAGTGAATAAGAAGTGGTATTTTGAGATAAACCTGACTTTTGATCAAATATGCAGTGCTCTCTTTGGTTAGCAGTGAATTCTTGATAAAATGTCCTGACCAGATGTATGTGATTATTACTGTTGCCCTGCAGGAAGAAACCTCTCCTGTTTTACTTCAACATCCTGAAATGTGCCAGTCCTCTGGTGCTGCTGGAGTTCCAGTGCCCCACCACGCAGGTCAGGAAGTCTTGCTACATCTGTTCCCTGTTACTACCGTTCTTATAAGGCATAGTGGGTGTTTCTTGACTACCTCCTGTTTGTGTGTTGTTTGCTCCCAGTTATGTGTGGAAAAGTGTCCTGACAGGTACATGACTTTGGTGAAGGCAAAGTTAGGCAAAAAGGAAGACCATGAATACTACACTCAATACTGCAAGGAGGGAACCAACTTCACCAAGCTGGTAAATATTCAAATAAACAGGTTACTTACATCTAAGTAGTTCAGATGTATACAGTTAAACATGGAGTATCAGAGAACCTTTAACTAATGCCCATTTTTTGCATGATTCAGAGTCCCCCTGAGATCCTGAGGGACAGCCTGTGTCCTGCCATGCTGCTGCCCAGTAAAGCTTGTAAGTGGCAAGCTTTTACTTCCTGTGCCCCTGCCTCTATTAATGAGTGTTTTCTGCCAAGAGTTGAAGAAGTGATTAAAGTCCTTCCTCCACAGTCACACGGCGCTGCCTGCCGGCCCTGGGAAAGCTGAAAGGGGGGGTGGTGGTGGTGGGAAACGAGACAGCATTCTACGACGACGACAATAACAGAGTCAATGCAACAGATGTGCTGGAGGCATCAAAGTGAGTCAACCTTTCTCTAGGGAGACACAAAAAACATTGGTGACATGTGGAATTATTTCATTTTAATGTTAAAATCTTAATGCGTAATACGAGTCAATAAGACGTTTGGTGAAGTGCACCACTCACTGCTGCTGTATAAAACCCACATGAGGAAACCACCCAATAAGAAAGTGTTCTCAGGCTTACAAGCTTCTCCCTTTGTTCTTCAAGTCAATCAATGACCAAACTTTTTTATTGTTCATGTATTTAAATATTAGCTTCCTTGTTCATTTTAATTCAGTTTATTTATATAGCGCCAATTCCCAACACATTATCTCCAGACACTTTACAGAGATAGTTTACCAGATCATACAGTCAGACTGATTCAAAGTTTTCTATCTAAGGAAAACTAGCAGATTGCATCAACTCCTTAATTCAAAGGCAATCCCTCACACCAAGCATGCTTGTAGCGACAGTAGAGAAGAAAAAATGCCTTTTAACAGGAAGAAACCTCCAGCAGAAGAAGGCTCAGTATGTGAGCGGCCAAATGCCGAGGCCGACTGGGGTTCAAGGAGACAGAAACAGACATTGAGAAAGAAGCAGAGATACAAAAGGCAACTGTTAACCAGCTCCACAGGCCGCCCCGTCCAGGAAACACACAGCCAGGCAGATGAGCTCCGAGCTAAGCTCCCATGTCAAAGGAGGGATGCTGCAGGTCACTGAGCACAACAAATAGAAAAAATATGGCTCTAGATTCATATAAATTGAATTTAAGTAGAAGCGATATAAAACTGAACAAATAACGTAATATTAAAGTGGTTTATTTGCCTGATAAGGGATTAGGACACCATCCAGAGCCTCAAAGATGAATTTATAGATTTATGTCTTGTTTATTTTTGTCTTGAAAGGAAGTCGAATGTTGTTTTGGAGGCTCGTCAGGTGGCCATGAGAATCTTTGAAGACTACACCCAGTCCTGGCACTGGATATTACTGTAAGTCAGCATATCTGTACTGTTAATGTACAAAGTTAAGCATTGAGACATCAACCTCTTTCTGAAGTGATTTAGATCATATTTAACCTAAACCAGATTCAGATGTTTATTTCAGTGGGATTTGTCTGAATAATCTTTATATGATATCTGAGAGGTAAAGACAGACTTCTGATTGGTTGATTAAACTCCAGTTAATTCTATTATTCATGAATTTGTCCTCGCTCTGCAGTGGTCTGGTGATCGCCATGGTTGTCAGCTTGATTTTCATCGTCCTGCTGCGCTTCCTGGCCGCCGTCATGGTCTGGGTTATGATTGTTTTGGTCATTATCGTCATTGGATACGGTAAAACCCATAAAGTCTCAGAACAAAATCAAAAGTTGTCTTTAAAGAAGATTAATGAAACTAACAAGCTCGACCGTGCTTAGGGATCTTCCACTGCTACATGGAGTATGCCAGTCTAAAGGGAGAACCAGGCGCAGACGTCAGCATCCAGGACCTCGGCCTGCAGACAGACTTCTCTGTCTACCTGCAGATCAGACAGACCTGGCTGGCCTTCAGTAAGATATTTTCAAAGTTTATATTTTTTAGTGAGCTGCTCATTCACCATTTTAATCTGCTTTAATTGCTATTTTCAGTGATCATCCTGGCAATTGTGGAGTTCATCATCATCCTGCTGCTCATCTTTCTCAGGAAAAGAATCATGATCGCTATTGCTCTCATCAAGGAAGCCAGCAGGTCAGTTCTGACTCTTCATTTAGAGCAGATTGTATAAAAGGACTGGATCAAATCAGATTTTTTGCAGACAAAATACTGGTTTTATTACACTAAAAGGTTTATATAATGAGTTCTATGAAGAGGTGTGTCTATAAAAGGCATTCTTCAGAATAACCGAGCGTCTCTCTTGTCAGAGCTGTTGGTCATGTCATGTCAGCGATGTTCTACCCGCTGCTGACCTTCGCCCTCCTGGCTGTGGTGATCGCTTACTGGGCCGTCACCGCCGTGTATCCTTTCGTTAAGCTTCCACCAAGCCCATCCAGTTGTTCCGTCTGCGGCTGATGTAACATGATCTTTTAGATGTCACTTTATCACCTTGACGCTTCCGTCCAGATTCCTGTCTACGTCGAATGAACAGATTTACAAAGTGTTCAACAACTCGGAGTGCGCATTCTCTCGAGACACCTGCGACCCCAAGGTGACCCAAAATCTTGTATTACAATCCGATTCCTTTTTTAAAAGCGCAGCAGTGTGGCGATACCATGAACAGGTGGCCTTTTAATAGAAAAACAATCTCTGCATTGATCTGCCTCTTCTGCTTCTCCTCCCCCAGACATTCAACACATCCAATGTTTCCGTCCAGTGCCCTGATGCAGAGTGCCTGTTTGCTTTTTATGGTGGTGAGACGCTGTACCACAGATACCTCATCCTGTTTCAGTTCTATAACGTCTTCCTCTTCTTCTGGTGTGCAAACTTTGTGACGGCACTGGGCCAGGTGACGCTGTCAGGGGCTTTTGCTTCCTATTACTGGGCCTTCAAGAAGCCAGATGACATTCCTGCTTATCCCATCTTCTCTTCCCTGGGACGGGCTCTCAGGTTTGTTTAAAAATATGTTTATTTGAATCATCCTAGTTGGAAATCTAAAAAAAAAAAGAATGTTGTCATTATTATAGAAATAACGGTGACATTGTTTAGAAAAAAAACAAAGATTATCCTGTATAAATTAGGCATATGTTCAGTCAGCAGTCGTGCCTGAGGCCATGTGACATGGAAAATGGTGACTAACTGTTATATTTGGCCTCCCTCTGTGTAGATACCACACAGGCTCCCTGGCTTTTGGATCCCTGATCCTGTCTTTAGTCCAAGTCATCAGAGTCATCCTAGAGTATTTGGATCACAAGTTAAAAGGTTGGAAAACACATTATTCAAATAGTGATTATAGCATTAATTATACTGCCATAAAACAGCCATCATCAGTGTGTGAGTGAATGGGTGAATAACTGAATATAGCGTAAAGCACTTTGGTCAAGTCCTCTTTGGTAAGACTTGAAAAAAGTCTATATAAGAACAGGCCATTTAAAACTGGTTATCCACCAACGGCTGCAAACATGATGAAAGGGTTAATAAGTACACAGTGTTATACAGTCATGAATATGTAAAGATTGTGTAGTTTAGATTTTATATAACTCATAATTCTTATTTATCCATTAGCATGTCACCTACTTCTATTAGCTTAACGTTTAAAATCCTTATATCATTGACCACATTCGAAGACAACTGGCAAATGCAAATGGAAACTGTATTATTATTCTGTTTAATGCCAAGGTTATAAGTTAGATCATGTAAAGCTAAAGAGCTAAAGTATTTTCATCTGCAATCATCATCTCTGCCCAGATTTCTTCCAACTACCTAAAAAGAGAAATAGTAATATGTATTTTGCACATTTAGGTAATAATCTGTCAATGTAAATTAAACCCACGTGTGTGGACCCCTACATGATCTATTTACAGCTACCTACATTAGCTTTTTCCACTCTAACAATAACTGAACGTTTTTCCTGATAAACATGTTCCTTCATCTTAATGTTTTGTAACCTTTCCCCTTATGTCTCCCAGGTGCTCAGAATAAGTTTGCCAAATTTCTGCTGAGCTGCATGAAGTGCTGCTTCTGGTGTCTGGAGAAATGTATCAAGTTCCTGAACCGGAATGCCTACATCATGGTGAGCAGCTGAAACTCGAACACAGCTGACTGATTTCTTTCCTTTCCTAGAAGCTCACTTCTTATTCTTTTGGGGATCTTTTTTTCTCCAGATTGCAATCTATGGGAAAAATTTCTGTACCTCAGCTCGAGACGCCTTCTTCCTCCTCATGAGAAACATCATCAGGTTTGTTTTTCATTCAAAATAAACTCGTACTGAATCTAAGTGTGCAGCAGGATTCAGCTGTCAAGCTCAAAACTGTGTCCACTTTAACACAGGGTGGCTGTTTTAGATAAAGTGACTGACTTCCTGCTGTTTCTTGGGAAGCTCCTTATTGTTGGCATTGTGGGTAAGGGAGGTTTTTATTAATAGATGGAAACACTCTGGAGAGACCCACAGTTGAAGTGAACAATTTCTGCTTTTTATCTCTGTGTAGGGATTTTCTCTTTCTTCTTCTTCTCTGGAAGGATCAAAGCTGTGGAGGACGCTGCTCCAACACTCAACTACTACTGGGTGCCGATACTGGTAAGAACAGCTTTAGCTTCAGCAGAGAGGTTAGAAAAGCTTCAGGGTAAATGATTTAGCATTTTTACTTAAGAAGTCATATAAGAGATGTAAGAAAATGACAGCTTTATCTTGTATTTGATGAAAAAGTTGTTTTTAAATATATCATCTGTGTCGGAAATCAGAAATGCCTAAAAATGCCTAATAATTCCCATAGTATCAAAGTATTTCTTTCACTTATTTATACTCAATATAACTTCTTATTAACTTTAGGTAAAAACGTCACATACCTGCTGTTGAAAATTGGATAAAAAAAGAAAACTGATGTCATTATTGGATGAAAACAGATTTCAGAAAATGAATAGAAGAAAATAGCTTTTCAGCTTAAACCTACCCATATATACAATTTGAACAATGAGTAAAACATTTTAAACAACTTAACTGTTACAAACAAGTCCCTAGGTTCAGTAAAATGATGATAGAAATACCCCCATACAACCATTAGAATATATGTCTCTAACCTATATCTGATTTTTATTAAACTAAAATAAGCGTATAAAAGTTCATGCTAAAGAAATCCTTCGTTTTGATGCATTTGATGGATTGTAAAGTACTTATTTGATATTTAGTTATTCAATATTTTTGAGCTCAGGACTCAGGCGCGTTCAATATTTCCCTAAAATTAGTTTGATATCAGACCACTGATATGACAGATTTATTTATTTAAAGCGGAGATCTTCAACAGGGGGTCCATGACCCCTAGGGGGTCAACGGAGGTACTGCATGGGGACATAAAATGTCTTTAAATAAACATTAACATGAATTTAACACACTGCATAAATGGAGGCAGAAGATGTATTCCAGTCATCATTTTTTTACTCTTAAAAACTCTTAACCAGAAGAGTCAATTAGTCTAAAAAGTGCTTTACTTAAAGGTATAGTGGAGGATGTTCTTTTTCCTGGTGGATCATCAAAGTGGTCCTCCTAATTGTCAATCATTCTGGCGATATGTTTACATAAGGCCGTCCTACTTGCTTGTCCCCATTTTCACATACCGGTGGTGACATAGTGGAAAACTTGCTACCGGTAATCTTCTTTTGGAAAGTAAATATGTATGAGCGATGCAAACAGTAACTTTAAACAGAGCGTTCACATGGAGAAATGGGCTGGTGCTCTTGCACGCATTTAAGGGCGTTCTCTCTTTGTATGGGTACAGGGTTGCGAATGTGCATTTTTTTTAAAGTGGAGAGGGCGGGTCTTTTCAAAAATTTGCGGAAATCCTCTACTATACCTTTAAGAGAGAGTTATTGCAGAATTTTGTGATAGTTTTCTAAAAAAACGTCATGATCTCCCTTCTTTTCACAGACGGTAGTAGTGGGCTCATACCTGATTGCCCATGGCTTCTTCAGTGTCTACGCCATGTGTGTGGACACTCTGTTCCTGTGTTTCTGTGAGTCATTTTTCAAAAATCCTCAGCTCTATTCGATAAGCTGCTTATTTTGCCTCCTTGCTTCGGTGTTTCTCACTTTTCTCCTCTTTGTCTCCCATTAATTTCATTTTCATACATTCCTTCTGCTTTTACGTTTTCCCACATTTTTCCATTAACCCATTTTAAACCAATGCATACCCAAAAATACTGGGAAAAAGGCGAGGACTTGGAAAGGAACGACGGGTCTTCTGAGAGACCTTACTTCATGAATCCCGAGCTGCATGAAATTCTCTCCAAGTCCAGTAAGACGGAGGACGAATGCGATGGCGTTGAGCAGACGGATGCTGCTAAACAAGTGGATGAGGTGAAGGTAGAGGAGGAAACACCTCTCCAGCAGCAGGATGGAGAGGTCCAGCTAAAACAGCAGAATGTCCTGATGGAGGAAAATGATGTGAAGCAGCCTCTGGATTCCAAGACGGAGGATGAAGAGCCGAAAGAGGAGAAGAAGGAAGAACAAGTCAGTCAGGCAGGGGAAAGCGAGAAAATAGAAGAGCCAGATGTGAAGGAAGCTGCAGAAAAACAGGAGGTAAAAGCAGAGAAACCGGCTGCAGCTGTGGAAGCTGAGGGGGAGAAGACTAGTGAGGAGAAAACAGAGGAAAAAAAGGAGTCAAAGGATGATAATCCTCCATCTACACCACAAGAGTAGATGCTACAAAGCAAGCGAGGTCCACATCCACCTCATAAAGCATAAAGAATGAAAGTTTTGTCCGTCAGCTTTGTCATATGGACCCGTTAAGCTAAAACCCTGTTCGGCTTTTCTGTGTGAGAGAACGAACATTCCAGCTGAAGATGGCGGCTCAGAGTGAATGCTGAAGCAGGTCAAAAGCCCAGTGCATCTCTGTAGCTTGGAAAACACACACACACACACACACTCCTTTGTGTTGGTTTTGAGCAGTGTTGATTTTCTATTGTGAAGGTCTGTAAAACATAGTGCGTGCTGAACCTGTGCCTGATTACTTTTGGTGTTCGTCGTCTCAGTCCTATTGAGTGGAAGCACTGCAGAACCAGTAACCATGTTTACAGCCAGAACAAAAACATCACAATCAATGGTGAATCACTTTCACAGTTTACAGAATACCAGCTGATGCCAAAATCTTTCGCATTATTTGATACACCAGGAGTACTGAACCTTTTGTTGTTTATGCATCAGTGTATGTTCAATATGTGTCTTTTGGCTTATTGAGTCTCTCGTTATGATGGGATTCCATATAATGTACCGCCACCTACTTGCCTTGGTATTTCGGAGTGGCGTTAAGTGCTGTGATTGTTCAGCCATGATGCAGATATCATGACCTCTGAACTCTCTGGACCCTTAAACCTCCCACCTGTTTACAGACTCCTTTGGCCTTGCTCTGTCCCCTTCCGCCAAACTCCTCTGTCTGTCTAAAGTGCTGCATGATATTAACACGGCCTTCTGAATGCTTGCAACTAATGTCTTAGGTTTCTGGAAGCTTTTGTACTTCTTGCCTGTAAGCTGGTTTTGTTCTTTTTTGTTTATTTTTGTTTTTAATTACCTACTGAAATGTTTGATGACATTCCAAATTTACTGGGTGTAATCCCTGATTCCAAGTGGTTGTATTTAATCGTCGTTCTGCCATGTAAACATGTGACTGCCGAGTTGGTTTCATGTTTATGGAAACAGGTGAGTTTTTTTCAAACAGAGAGAGCAAAAGGGGCATCTTGACAATTTTATAGAAGTCAGTTTGTTCGTTGTTTTTGACTTGTGACACCCCACCCCTTAACCTGAACAGAATATAAGTCTATACATTTTGGACTTTGTGTGGATCATAATTTTTTTAAAGGTCCTTTAAAATCTCAAAAGACATGCCTGAAATAGGGCGACTAAATAAACAGCTATTTGAAACTAAATGCCCGTTACTGTAATTTAATTTGTCATCAACAAAGTCAACACTTTGTATTGGTTAGTCCACAATCAATTAAAAATGTCTTAACAATTAGATCATTAGGACCTATAGTGACTCATTTGGACCCTTTCTTTTCCTGGGTCAAATGATAATGGTTCATACAAATTAATTTCATTCTAAAAGCAATATATTGATTTGTAGCCATCCACAACCTCCTGGCTGGGTGGCTGACCAGTCTGTTTAGCATTATTAGTAGAGTTCATTTAAAATTGTTCTCAGTGGCCAAGCAACAAAGTTTGAGCTCATGATTACCACTATCTACAAAGTTTGGTGGTGGCAGCATCATGCTGAGGGTCTTCCTCATCTATTTTTTCAACACACATAAACAGCTAGATTACTACGACACATGATTGCTCTAACAACACAATGATCCCAGGCTAGGACACATCAGAAAGGACTTTGGGATGGCTTGACTAAGATTGTGAAAAGGCCTTGCCAAAGCTACATTTTCTATATATATATATATATATATATATATATATATATATATATATATATATATATATATATATATATATATATATATATATATATATATATATAGACTGTAGTTAAAAAGTGAGTCTGAGAGGAAACAGCCCAATTTAAATGAACTCTGCTATCCACTCTGCCAGAAAGATTGGTAAAGTATCCGGTCAGAATTTTACCAGAAGCTTGTTAGTGTAGTTCAGGTCCTGCTTGCAAGGGGTAATTGAACTGAATATTCGCTGGTGGTGTATGTAAACTTTCGAGCCTTTTTGTGTAATATACAATCTCTGTGTTAATCAAATAAAAGCCAGATAAATTCTAACGTGTGCTCCCTTGTTACTTCCCAGCCACCTGATTGGATACACCCTACTAGTGCTGGGTTAAACCATGCGTTGCCTTCTGTGTTGCCTCTGTAGGTCATCTCATATAGCTTTAACAAGGTGGCAGAAATAGTCCTCGGAGAATTTGGTATAGATCACCCCAGTGGTTTAGTAAAAAAAAAATGAAACTTCAATATGCATGGTATAGTTTTTGCATGTCAGGTATGTCGATTATTGACTTTGACCAAGGCACCTTTTAGTAGAACTGCAGTCAGTCCCTGGACTGGCAACGCTATCACTGCCCCTACATAGTTAGGGACAAATGCAGAGGACAAATTTCCCACTGGGATCAGCTTCATAGTCAGGGTAGGACAATTCTTTGATTTTATTTATTTTGCTCAGGCTACTCGTAAGCCCACAGCCTACCAAATGTTGAAAGGGCAATATTATTACCATTACTGTTAACATATGTTAGAAATTTTACGCATTCACTAATAAAATGTCACAGGGGGTGGTATGGGAGGGGTGGTCGTTTAAGAAGGGGGATTATAAAAAAAAAAAAAAGAAATTTAAGAAGGGGGATGCCGTTTCCCCTCATCCCCCCTCAACCTGAGTACTGGATCACCCTCATAGTGCCACGTAGTACCTGCATGTATGTTGGCTTGATCTTTGTTCAGGTGCCGTTAAAACCCAATGGAGCAACCCATGTTTGCTCCATTGGATTTAGATCTGGGGACTGAAGCTCAAAGAGGTGCACTGACTTCATTGAAACCAGTTTGAGACCATTGAAGCTTTGTGACATCATGTGTTATTCTGCAAAAATCTGCTATGGTAAGATTGGTACTTTTTCAACAAATTGATGTGGTAAGAACACTCTGGTAGGCTGTGGGGTTTAAATAATGCTTGGTATCTGTAGATTCTTACCCTACAACTGGATTTCACTGCAAAAACTATGACCACTCAGTCTAGAAAATGTACCTGGCGCTGTGTTCTGCTGCTGTAGCTTCTTTCAAAGTTTGCTGGGCTGTGAATTCAATCTATGTCTTCTGGAACCTACAACTGTGCCCTATGCAAAGTCAAACAAATACACTCTCCTTCAGCATCCTGATACTCAGCAAGCTGCTTTTGCCACGTTTAGATTGCCTGTTTGCATCGAGTTAAACTAAATACTTGGAACACATCAGTGGCAGCCCAAAATAACTTTATATGTTAACTTCTCACAGAAACTGCAACATAAGGGTCAAGAAATTATTGTTGAATTTCTATTTCTTTGTGTAACAGTGGAGGATCTGGAACGCAACGATGGATCTGCTGAGAGGCCGTACTTCATGTCCCAGAATCTTCTCAGTCTCATGAAGAAGTCCAATGACTCGCCCAAATCTGTTGATTAAATCATATAGCAGGGCTTTTTTGGGGGGTAAACAGATAAATTAAGGCGCCGTTTCCTTTTATTTTTGTACAGTATTTTTTGTGTATATATGAATCATTTTATCATGAATTCATACTGTTAATGAGACATTGCCCAACAGGGGCAATAAGTACAGAAGCTTGGGATATAATTTTTTTTGCTAATTTAGGACAACAGATTGCTGAATGGCCTTGTTTTATATCTCACGTTTTATGTTTTATTTGAACCGTTCTGTTAATTTCATTACAACATTCAGTGAGCATGGATACCTTTATAGGTCAAAGAAACTCTTTTTGCAAGTTCAACAAAATAAAATGCACTATTTAAGGTTAATTCGCTTTATCGGTACAATAGCCCTTAAGAGATTATAAATTGCCGAAGTGCTTTAAACTTTTTTTTACGGCCATTGCTTTTTTACTGCTAATTTTAATGACTAACTTGCTATGCAAATTTTTTATTGTAATAACTTTAACTTTGTAAAAGCTTTACAGTTCCTGTTATTATGTTATTAAATATTTGTCTTTTCATCTTAATTTTGGTAAAGAAAAGAAAAGCTCTTTGTTTCTAAGACAAAAAAAAATTCTTTACTCCTATACGTTGTTTTCTGGCTCATGGTATATATTTTTAAGGAAAAGCAAAAAAGGAACCCAAAACAAACTATATTGTTTTTTTTTGTTTTTTTTGTTTTTTTTAAAGAATAATGTAAATTAACAAGTGTACAGATAAGAAAGTTTTCATTAATGGTTTTGAAATTGAAAAAAAAAAGTGTATAAATAAATGATCATGAGTTATTTATCTTATATGATGTCTCTGAAAAAAGTTTTTTATTAAATACTATTTGGCCAATATAACGTAGATTACTGCTGAAAAAGAATGTTCTCTAAGGATAATGAGAATCTAGTTTGAAATCAAAAAGAATGAAACAGCTAACTTATGATCTCCATGAGATGATATCCAAATAGATATTAACAGACATGATAATTTGAGGCCTCTGTGCTTCCCTCAAAGGTGATGAATTGTTCATTTATTTACAATTTACTGCACTATATTGTGTCTTTCAGCCTTTTCTCTTAACTTGGATTCTAGATTTGGGTGAATTGACAGGACATTCACTAATTTGCCTGAAATTATGTTTTAAAATTTAGAATAATTAGAATTTAAACTCCTCTGTAATAGAAAACATGCATTTAAAAAAAACAACTAAAATGATGGTCACAGGAAGCTGAAGAAGCCCTACAAGGTTACAGACTGGAATGCACTATGTCAGCTCCACGGAGAGGACATCAATGCAATGCAAGTGTATGGCTGACTACACATAATTCTGTGTAGATAATACCATCCCTACCAGAACAGTGAAATGCTCCCCAGTATTAAACTTTGGATTATCAGTGATCTGGAGGAACCACTAAGGAAGAAAAAAAGAGCATTCAGGGAGGGAGAAAGGGATTTATTGAGGTTAATACAGAAGCAGCTTAAGGTTAAGATAAGAGAAAGCTAAACAGTGTACAGGAAGCAAACTTAAGTACCGTAGAACAATTTCAGAGATGTGTGGCAGAGATGGGGGATGTGGAGTCAACAAGCCAGTAAAGTTATATATATGGTCGAACAATCAAACTCTTTTTGCTGTCATATTTTTCATAATCATGAGTTTAACCTTAAAAAGCCTAAAAACAATCAAACTAAGAAAATACACCTTGAACTCATCTCATTTCTATTAAACCATAAACTTCTTGTCTGGTTGAAAAAATAAACAGCCAGTGGTATAAATAATCTTGGCTCATTCTAACAGTGCTTGGCTGTGAACACAAGGGGGTAACCACATCTTTTGTTGCTCACGCTAATGAAAAGAGAACCATGTTTTGGTGGATGTCTTGCATGTATTTCTTTCTCTTTTCAAATATGCAGTATGTTAATGCTTTCAAATCGAACTATAAAGCTGAAGAAGCCTTCATGGAATCACCCGAATCATCCAACAGCTTGTGTAAATGTGACCTATGAAAACATTTAAAAAGAAAAGGTGATTTATGTCTACAGAGTACAATGATTTGGTGGATGACATTTCTGTAGGGCAGGCTTCTACATGTTCTTTCATGTGAGGTTTTAAACCAGCAAGTACTCATGTGAGAGCCTTTACCATTCTCCGCCTGGGGATGGTGCAATACTGCTAGGGATGGGGTTTGAGTCTGGTGAAGCTGAGGAAGGACGATAGCAATAACAAACACCACTGTGAAACATACTGCTGTTTACCCTGTAACCTTGATTTATTTAAGTCACATTGCACTGAGCCGAAAAGAAATAATGAACTCAAAGGGAGGGCCTCATATGCCAGATGACACATATTAATTACTTAAGTGATAGACAGACTTTATTCCGGACTCATGGTCCAATAAATATATAAAATACGACTAAAACAATGCAAGTAAAAAAAGACAAAAAACACCAATTATCAATTAGATAGGAGCTTTAAGGAGACAGGAATACCAGTGTCTCAACAGCTTAGACTGGTATTGGATTGCACTACGTGTGCTTTTAGTAAGTTACAACATAATATCATTGCCAGATGCATTCATCCTACAGATAAAACTATACATAAACTTTCGTAGAAAAAGCATGTAAGGTATTGTGTCTTGCTGTGACAAACATCTCACTTGTGCGAGTCCATTTTAATTATTTAGACCCTTAAGATAGAAAAAATAATAATAAAGCACATTCTTTCCATGATATACATTAGGAAAAAAAGACAGACCC